CAGCCACCAGGTCGGCCATGTTCTAGGTCACTCATGTCTCTACAGCCACCAGGTCGGCCATGTTGTAGGTCACTCATGTCCCTGCAGCCACCAGGTCGGCCATGTTCTTGGTCACTCATGTCCCCACAGCCACTGAGTAAATGGTGTTCTAGGTCACCCAACGTCCCTGCAGCCACCATGTCATCCACGTTCTAGGTGACTTATGTCCATACACCTACCATGTTTATGTTTCTTGTCACCTGTGCCCATACAGCCATCATGCCAAATTTGGTCACCCATGTCCCTGTGGTCACTGTGTCAATGCTTGGTGTTACCGGTGTCCTTGCAGACAACAGGTCAACCACGTTCTAGATCACCTGCATCCCTTCAGCCACCAGGTCAATGACGTTCTGGGTCAATCAAGTCCCTACAGGCCCCAGGTCAATGGCATTCTAGGTCACTCATGTCTCTACAGCCACCAGGTCAGCCATGTTCTAGGTCACTCATGTCCCTACAGACACCAGGTCGGCCATGTTCTAGGTCACTCATGTCTCTACAGCCACCAGGTCAGCCATGTTCTAGGTCACTCATGTCCCTGCAGCCACCAGGTCAGCCATGTTCTAGGTCACTCATGTCCCTGCAGCCACCAGGTCAGCCATGTTCTAGGTCACTCATGTCCCTGCAGCCACCAGGTCGGCCATGTTCTAGGTCACTCATGTCTCTACAGCCACCAGGTCAGCCATGTTCTAGGTCACTCATGTCTCTACAGCCATCAGGTCGGCCATGTTCTAGGTCACTCTTGTCCCTACAGCCCCCAGGTCAATGGCATTCTAGGACACTCATGTCCTTGCAGCCCCCAGGTCAATGGCATTCTAGGTCACTCATGTCTCTACAGCCACCAGGTCAGCCATGTTCTAGGTCACTCATGTCTCTACAGCCACCAGGTCGGCCATGTTCTAGGTCACTCTTGTCCCTACAGCCTCCAGGTCAATGGCATTCTAGGTCACTCTTGTCCCTGCAGCCAGCAGGTCAGCCATGTTCTAGGTCACTCATGTCTCTACAGCCTCCAGGTCGGCCATGTTCTAGGTCACTCTTGTCCCTGCAGCCAGCAGGTCAGCCATGTTCTAGGTCACTCAAGTCCCTACAGCCCCCAGGTCAACCACATTCTTGGTCCCCCTTGTTCCCACAGCCACCCAGCCACCCTCTTTCTCATTCCCACTGCATCCCTCTGGATGGGTGGAAGAGGCGGTGACGTTCTGTGTCCCCTCTGCCCTTCTGCCCTCAGCTGTGCCGCCCCACCTGGTAGCTGAGCTCCTTCACGCGCCGCTCCGACTTGCGCAGCCCTTTGACGTTCTCGGCGTTGCGCTTCTGCTCTGCCTCCAGCTCGTTCTCCAGCTCCCGCACGCGAGCCTCCAGCTTCTGCAGCTGCTTCTTGCCACCCTTGAGGGCCAGCTGCTCCGCCTCGTCCAGCCGTAGCTGCAGGTCCTTGATGGTCTGCTCCATGTTCTTCTTCATCCGCTCCAGGTGGGCGCTCGTGTCCTGTTCCTTCTTCAGCTCCTCCGCCATCATGGCCGCCTAGGAGAGAGATGGGGTGAGGTGGAGGGTGAGGAGGGGTGGAGGAATGGGAGAGATGGGGAGAGGTGAGGGAATGTGAGAGATGAGGAGAGGTGGAGAAAAGAGAGGGATGGGAGAAGGTGAAGAAAGGTGGAGAAATGAGAGAGATGGAAGAGGTGGAGGAATGGGAGAGATGGAATAGAAGGTATGGGAGAGATGGAAGAATGGGAGAGATGGAGGAACAGGAGAGATGGGGAGAGGTGGGGAGAGGTGGAGAAATGGGAGAGATGGGAGAGGTGGAGGAATGGGAGAGATGGAATGGGAGAGGTGGAATGGGAGAGATGGAAGAGGTTGGGGAGAAGTGGAAGAATGGGAGAAATGGAGGAACGAGAGAGATGGGGGGAGGTGAGGAGAGGTGGAGGAATGAGAGAGATGGGAGAGGTGGAGGAATGGGAGAGACTGAATAGAAGGAATAGGAGAGATGGAAGAGGTTGGGGAGAGGTGGAGAAATAAGAGAGATGGGGAGAGGTGAGGGAATGTGAGAGATGAGGAGAGGTGGAGGAATGGAAGAGATGGAATGGAAGGTATGGGAGAGATGGAAGAGGGTGGGGAGAAGTGGAAGAATGGGAGAGATGGACAGAGGTGGAGAAATGGGA